GATGTGTATCTCCTTCTGGAGGAATGCTCAGTGTCCGATTGCATGACTGATTGTCACTGCAGGGGAGGATACAAGGAAGGAAGAAATCATTAAACTACGCAATCAAAAGTCACAGAGAGGTCTCTCGATGCAATCGGCCTGTCTTAGGTTTTCCTAGAATTCATAACTTGTTAACCCCAAAATCCCCCTTAAAGCTGCTGTTGGCTGAATTTTGAAATGATCAGATTAGAAGCCATTGGACCAAATAAATGGCCAGGATGGAAATCTGTGCAACGCAAGCTAATTCACTTTATAACCAATATGAAACGCTGCAAAACTGTGCATGAATTAGAAAACTGGTGTAGTTAATAAAACAACTGTAACACGTTTACCTTTAAAACGCAGTTTTGATGTCATATTGATGATTTGTATAGTCTTTAAGCAACAATCTGACACATTATGGTGTGGTGAGTGCTATCGAAAGTGACTTCGCTTAATATAAGACATGCATAGCACCGACAAGTCAGGTAAGTGAAGACAGTGCCCTAACCCCTTAATGCCTAGTGTGTCATATTTGATAAATACAGGGTTTTTTCAGTTGTTGAGACTTCTACATCAGCAGTGTGATTTCCCCCCCTGAAAACCTGAATAAATTGCATTTTAAGCAATTAAAAAACACGCCGCCAGATATCACAAATAAATTACAAATTAAAAGTCATGTATGTAAATTTAAATTTTAAATAATTTTGTCAGATGGCTCAATAAATTTTCTGGCAATTGTTTCAGATTTTAAGCTTTAACAGGCTAATCCTCCAACAGGGTCGCCATTACCAAACTTGACCTGGGTGGATCTCAATTCTGAACCTGGAAGAGGATGCAAATATAGATTCTGGCTACGGTAGAATATGTTTACAGTTTTGGGTATGGCAATTATAATCATTTTTGTTTCAGAACATAGAGTTCATTTATTTCTGTTTGCCACACCATGGTGCAGTGACCGTCAGAGAAGGGAACGGGAGTTTGATTAGACAAGGGAGAAAATGATGTTTCCTGTTGAACCTATGTTTCTACCAAGAAATATTTTTAGGAAAGAAAACAACAGGAAACAGCTGAAATACTCATTTTGTCTGAAGATAATTGAATATACAATGAATTAACATTTTTAAAACATTGTGTTTCTGTTGACTCTTGAGACTAAACTCTGCTGCAGTCCTTTAATCTCCTCCAAGGCTTTAAGTTAAAAAGAGCAGGTAACTTATCACTAACACAAAAAAATTACTTCTAGTTACTTATTTTTGGTATCTTTTTGTTATTATTATCATTTTTATTTTCTTTTTACATTTGCTTAATTACAAGGTTTTGTGCTTGTCATGTCTTGTGTGGCAGTTTTACATATTTTACCAGCTTATGAGGGATCCAATCAAACAACTAAAGAAAAAACTGACTTGGGATTTTATGTAAATGTCCATACAACATCAACATAAAAATGCTGGGGTTATGGTTAACCTGCTATACAGAAAAAAGAGAGCATAAAAAAATTAATGCAAGAAGAGATGATTAATTTGAAAATGATGAGGAGACAGAAGTTCAAGGCCACTTAATGTTCACTTAATCTCTGTTATCGTCTATACTTTGACTGCATTCAGTTAGAAAAATAGTTATTACTTGTGCATACTTTTACAGCTCAAGCCAAAATTATGTAGGAAATGGACACTGATTCATTTGGCAATGGGAAAAGGGAAGACAGCTCGCCATGCAAACATGCAGGAATGCTATTCATGCTGCTGAGTAATACCGCAGTTGGAAGCCGCTATTGCAGACTGACGGGAATACTTTTAAACTGGGATCATGTCTTGGAAAAATATTCATGTTTCATCCACAGATGAAGCCTGAAAAACTAATTTTGGTTAACCCAGTTAACCTGCCAGACACCATAGCATAAGCCCCCGCACAAGCAGGACCATGACTTTCAGCAGGAAGAATTTCAGTTTAACTGGGATGCAACTCACAGGTTTGTGTTGATTTTTGTTGGTTTTCTAACCTTGGGGGACATACACATTAATTCACTACAGCTGAGACTCTTGGCAGACCTGAGGATAAGAACACTGAGTGCTTGCAGCTGAGATAGTCATCAGGTAGTGCTGTGAGTTAGACTTCCCCAGCTCCTCACGAACGTGATGTTGTGCATTCTGTTACACAACAGTAGCCACATCTTCATGGCTGAATGAGTCTTTAAACTATCTGTTAACACGGCACGCAACTGATACAGAAGTTTTTCCTCCCACTGAGGTAGGCATGTCATGCACATGAACACTCCTACTACAAGACCGACAGGGAACAATGAGGCTTCACACTGTGGTTTGTGTGTGCAGTTCTGATAGCGATGCCTTATTTCTCCCACATATTGTTTGACAGCTGTGATGAGCTTCTGTGTGTGCACAAAGGCAATTCTGCGATATGAAAGTTTTGGCAGATGCGTGCTGACTGGATAAAACAAAATCGTTGACAATATCTGCTCATCTCCAAGCTTTGACCCGACGGGAGCAAGGCCATGGCTGGGTGCGCCTCTCTTATCGCCATATCTTCATCTGTGGGGCCAACCCAGAGCTGCTGGCCAAGCTTTGTTTTTTTCTTCTTCTCCTTTTTGCACCACCATGCCTCTGGGTTTCAGGTGGGCTTTTTGTTCCCTGTGGTAACTGGATGCAGGCTGTGGGCTAAGGAACAATACAGCTTTCAGAGAGCAAGGAAGAAACTGCACGTAGCGATTCCCACGGCATATTATGCAAGGGAACTCCTCATTACCCCTGTTTTCAAGAAAGTGTGCTTACCTCCCTCTCTATAGGCTAAAGGAAACATCCATTTAGAGATCTCATGTTCATCTTCCAAATCAAATAAACACAGTCAACTTAGAAAGAAGTCATTTATGTAATTCACCCACTCGTAAGGTCATCAAGGACATTTGTTGGTTGTTTTCTTTTCCCTCCCCTGAATGAAATGTTTCTCAAACCATTAATCATGAACTTGTCTTTATGTGCAGATTAAAAAAAGCATGAAGGAAGAAGAAGATCAGCTAATACTAATGTAAATAAACAGAAAAGGATGATTAAAAAAAATACAAAACTCAATGATTTTTGGCCTTTGCCATAATTCAAGGTCACCTTTTTGGAGATTTGTATTGGACATGATATATGTTGATAACTAGGGAAACTCTATCAGATAAAGCTTGATATCCTTGAAGATCTTTTTTTTTAGGCTTTGGTGTTTCTCTGTTTAATCAGACCATGTAAGGACAGTTCCATGACTGCAGAGTGCAGGTCCAAGGTTTATGCAGTGATAATATGTGTGCTTAGCAGTTTTTTTTAAATCCTGGAGGACATTCTGCTCAGGCTCACTGCAGAGAGACACTTGTGTGAGTGAAGCATACACAGCGGTGAGTCATTGTTTGTGCTTATTATTTCAGAATAATTGCTACAAGTTTTACATAAAAGGATTTTTAAAAACTAATTAAATGACAAAGCCTTTGCACTTTCGTTAGAGATTGTAATTGTAAAGAACATAACATTTTGAAGCAGTTATTATCTGTGTTTTCTAAATGCAGTTCTGGCACATTTGCTATTGTAGTGGACCTTGATCACTCTTTGCCTGATTATTAACTCGCATGTTGAAGCCAAGTTGAGAAAAAATTGAAGCGAGGAATGTTTAGAAACTGAAAAATAAATTGACAGATGCAACAAGTAAAGTTTAAAAAGGGTGACTGCAGTGCAAACATTGGAGTGCAACAAGAAGGGAAAAGATCTGAATGGCATATAAGGATGTTGTTTGTGCATTATCCATTTCATATCAAAGCTCACTTTATCAACATGAAGGACATGTTTCACAGAGATAGTTGGAAGATAGGAAAAGGCATGTTCTGTGATTTGTTTTTGTTCTGTTAGAGTGTAGGCCTGTACTGCCACGTAGAGCATATGTGAGCACACGTTCAGCTGAATATACAGTAATGTGCAAAAATCTTTAGTCAACCCTATTTCATTTCTTATTCTTCAGAAATAGTTTTCCAGGATTCTTGAAAGATGTCAAAGCTCTTCTTTACATGTTTGCTGCCTTTTGTTCTGTACTCAGCCAATCCATGGTCGATAGTGTTCCATTATGTGAAAACTTTGAAAGCCCTTTAGACAATCTGGAGAGCCTTCAAAACAATATAGTCTGTCTCTTGGGAAGAAAAATAAAAATAGGACAGGGTTAGATCAATGCTTTTGCACACTACACAGTAAGCATTATTAGAATTGTTAAAATTAGAGCTGGAGCCTGAGAAGTCTCTTCCATCAAAGCCACATCGTGCTCTATGCATGTAAGCACAGTGTAGCACAGATAAGCATATTTGACAGCCAATAGGGTTTTAGCTGCATCAGTGGGAGTAACTGAAATGGTCCACCCACATTCTGCCTGGTGAAATAGAAGCAGTGGCTCTTACACTGTTGCTTCTCCCAAATGAACATACTCAAAATAAATCAGTAACTAACAAAATAAAGTTTCTTGTGCACTGAGGGTAGAGGGTAGAAAGGATTGTTTTTATGAATGGCTTAAATACAGACAGGGAAGCAGACCTAATGTAAATTTGGAGTTTTCTTTCTACTAAACATGTCATTAGTGGCCCTGTGATGCATTAGTGACCTGTGCAGGGAGTATCTTGCTTATCACCCTATGACAGCTATGCCATGAGAACCTTCTGTCCCCTCAGAATAAGAGGCTAAGAAAAGGGATAGATGAATAAATTAATTAATAATTTTAGAAATGTCTCATTGAAATTTAAAATGTGATTTTCAAGAGAAATCTTGTGAAAGCAGAAACTGCAGCGGTAGCAGAAATTACAACAGATATATTATAATAGCTATGCATTAAATATCTGAAGTGGCCAAAAAGGGCTCAATCAAATATAATGTAGAACACAGATAAGGCACAATAGCGCAGTGACAAAAGTCATTGCAATACAGGCTTTCTTTATTATTATTATTTTCTTTTTTTCATATATATATAGCCCATTCATAAACTCGTCGACAGCATTCTATTTACCAGTTTAACCAAATATATTAAACATAAGCACACAGAACCATCAGCAATCAATTTTTGTTTTTGGCACATAACCGGAACTCTTCCTTTCGGCGCCTGAGCCAGCACGGAATGTTTTTGCTGTCGCACCAGATAGCTGTTAAGCCGACAAGTGCCTCCTTCCCTACCTTACAGTAAGGTGTATATTAATGTCACTTTTCATTACTTTTACGTACATTTTGTTCATGTAAGACCTCGAGATGATTCTCTGTTACTGAAAGCGATCAATTTATGTTTTTGTATCTGTGTGACGTTAGCGTGTCGCTCTGTTTTTAACGTTGGCACATCGTTTGGTAACTGGCGACTAAGAGCTAGCAGCATAACTTCATGATATTGTAAGCTAATTAACACAGATATCTTCTGTGCTTCTAGTGAAGCTGTGGTATCTCATAGGCTACTGCTAAGGAAAACCGTGAAAGCTTTTAAATTTCTTAATGTGCTCGGGCTGCAATAGCTGCTGTTTGACCGCTGGCTGACACGCTCCCTTGAAGATTATGTGTTGATCCAATTATCTGAGGCTAGCCACTACTAGCATATGTCTTTGTAAACACTTTGTTGCTGACTAATGTTAGAAATTTTCAGTGCTGGCAGAGTCTCGTTTTATGTGTTTCATATCTGGTGCTTCGTTAATCAGAAAGGGGTTCAAATGCTAAAGTTGGACGGAAGTGTAATGTGAATTTAAATGCCATGATCATTTGTCTTAAAGAAAGCAAAGTATAGCCTATTATCCAAACTCGAGAATGTTGTTTTCCATATAGTTAAACTCTCGCTGTTGTGTCCTTGCTTCACTTTAAGTAGACCCTGTGCAGGCAAATCTTTCTGCAAGAACTAAGTACATATTGAAATCAGTGTTGACAATGCTCCTTTCAGACACTGATCATTCATGCAAGTCATGAGACACATGTGAGTGAAAGGGCTTTTGTTTTTCTCTGTTAGCATGGTGGAAAAAAAAATTATATCATGGAAAATTTTCAATATTTTCCATCATTTTTTTTTAAGGATGTGAAAATCAAATATATTTTAAACCCATTACATTGAAGCTATAGTGTTTCAAGCACTTTAAAAGCTCAAAAAATGTAGCAAACTTATCATAACATATTAAACTCATTTTGAGTTTGAGGAAATGGCTGTTCAAACAGTATAAATACAATATATCTCTGAGTTTAGTTCAGTTCACAAAACCACAGTCATGTAGAAGAATGCTGGCATGAGAGCTGCGCTTATGACAATTATAGACACCCTTCATGGGGAGGGTGAGCCACAGAAGGTCAATGCTGAAATGGCTGCTTGTTGGCAATAGTGTTGTATCAAAATGTGCTCATGCAAAGCTGACTAGAAGGGAGAAGTGTGGTAAGAAAAGGTGTGAAAGCAAAAGGGATTGCCGCAGCCTCAAAAGAATTAGCAGTTCATTAACTACAATCTTCCTTTCACAGCAAAGTTTCTGCAGTCAGTGACCCTCAGGTTGTTTTTTTCTTTGCGTATCTTCAGGTTTGCAGGATGGCCCAGACAGACAGCAAGGTACTGGTTTTGGGAGCGTTGGCTGGAGTGGCTGGTGTCAGCTTGGCTGTGGTGTGTTACCAAAGTTTTAGGTCTCGGCGAAGGGGCTCGTGCCCAGGATTCCAATTTCACCGCACTAATGAGCAAGGGTATGGTCTCACGCTGGTGGATGGTCCTGGTCTGCCCAGCGGTCAGGCCGAAGTGCTGGATCGCCTTGAAGCCCTGATTCGGTGTGTGTCGGAGCTGAAGGATGAAATGAAGGCGTTGAAGAACGCTCTGCCATCGCTGCAAGACCAGGTCAGAGAGGAGTTCAGGGGACGTGAAGAGGCGCGGCGAACTGGCTCTCTGCACAGGACTACGCCAACACGAAGGAAAAGAACTGCAGCCACTGTCGCTGAGGCCAGAGCTACAGGCCGGAGCTCAGAGGAAGCAGAGAGTGAAGGAGGGTGAGTACTTTAAAAGCTGAGAAATTCAGTTTTCCCTTTTTATTATCTGGTTAGAGATTGCTTAAAAATGTCTGAGCAAATGTACAACAACATCAGAATCTTTTCCATTAACAGATTCTATGACAGTAATATGCTTTCCTGAATTGTCTCTCAGCAAGCCATAGAAGTCATTTGACTTCCTCCAAAGCGCTCTTTTGCTCACATACACATAGATACATATAGACTTAAACTGAAAATATCAGATTAACAGGATTCACACACAAAATTATGCCCAACCTAAACAAATGCTACTTTTTACTTACAATTCCATCCCATTACACCAGCCTCACTAGCTGCACCAGTTTTGAATTTTAAGTGATGAAGAAGCCGCTAGATCGAATAAATAGATACATCTACAGCACATGAGGTGCACATATTTTATGTGCACCTCATGTGCTGTTAAGGAACACACACTGCATGTGGCCAATCTGCCAATATCACAGTACTAATGCTGATACGCTGATGCAGGAAGTGCAGTGGCTCAATAATAATGACATATTTGTAAAGTAAGACTACTGTGTCTTTCACTGTTCTTTCTTTGTGAATTATAGAATAGGGATTAAGTGAGTAACACTTAGTTTGTCTCCATAAGTCAGTTACAGACTTCTCTATTGCAGTTTCTGGCTTGGTTTCATAATTGTTACACCCTTAACAAATCTTAACATTATCACAGAAGCGAATCTGTGGTGTAAGAAAAGCATGTGCTGCAATTAAAGTTAAACTAAAGATAATGCACACTTGTGGTCTGTTTTAAGATGTGGGAATGAAAAGGCACTGAAGAAGAATTCTAATCTCACTTTTATTTCATGTTCTGTGAAGGGAAAAGTATATGGTTTTCTGTGGTTTCCTGGGAGCCAAACAGCTAGTTAGATTAAAGTGACGTGAAGTGAGTCACTGAGCAAAAAGGGAACCTGTGATCTGGCTAAAGCAAAAGCCCAAAATGAAACAGAAAGCACACGCAAAAAAAATCAAGAGTTCCAATTTAATACAACAAAACAAAACAGACACTTTGATAAAGATGAAGGGGAAGATGGGACTGATTAGGGTTTAGAACCAGATGTGGAAACTGTGACTTACCTGTAGTGATTTGCACTGTTTGCCTGTAACACAACCATTGTGGTGACTATAATGAGCTCTTAACACATAGATGAGACAGAGGAAGGGAAAACGGGAAAACACCTAGAGCATTAGAATTATGCTAAATAATAAAATGACATTAAAAGAGGAGCCAAAAAATTAGGAAAACTTGACAAAAACATAAGAATTCAAAACTCAACATCACTAGAATAACAGGAATTAAGATAGCAATAAAAACTAAAGGAATTCAGCAGAACGAAATTGAATAAGATCTCCAAAACCTCAGAACAGTGATGTTCTGAGTACATCATCTTTCAGTTCTAATGTTTTATGTATCAATACATAAAAAATCATCTGGTCTTTAGCCATTAATGTCATTAATGTGTCATTTAACAAAAACTAAGGCAACCTATAGAACCAGTGTGTGAAATCATATAGGTATCCAGAGGAGTTATCTGCTGCTAATCACATGTACTTGATTATCTGAGCATCAGCAACTGTAAATATGCTGAACGCTGATGTTTTATCAGTTTGCAGGTCTGGAGGCTTCAGGTGTGTTAGTTGCTGAGGAGGACAGATATCAGCTGTTTGTTCAGACTGGGAAGGGTTATATAGTTGTTTCCAAACAATTTGGAGTTCATCATTCATACAATGAGAAGGATTGAATAACAAGTGAATAACCTTCAAGACGAATATCAATATTCCCAGGAGTGGACATCCCAGAAAATTCACCACAAGGTCAGGCTCTGCAGTGCTCAAAGAATCTCAGACATAACTCCTCAGTTAGAATGTTAAATATTAGCCATGCCACCGGACAATGATCCCAAGCAAAGTAGCAAATCTGCAACAGAGTGACTGAAAAAACAGTCCAGTCAAAGTCCAGATTTCAATCTGACTAAAATGCTGTGCATAAGTGAATGCCCACAAACCTCCCTGACCTGAAGCAAGAGTGGGCTTTTATATCTTCATAAAGTATAGAGTATGAATAAGTTTTTACAGTGGGACAAAAAAGTATTTAGTCAGCCACCGATTGTGCAAGTTCCCCCACCTAAAATGATGACAGAGGTCAGTAATTTGCACCAGAGGTACACTTCAACTGTGAGAGACAGAATGTGAAAAAAAAATCCATGAATCCACATGGTAGGATTTGTAAAGAATTTATTCGTAAATCAGGGTGGAAAATAAGTATTTGGTCAATAACAAAAATACAACTCAATACTTTGTAACATAACCTTTGTTGGCAATAACAGAGGTCAAACGTCTACTATAGGTCTTTACCAGGTTTGCACACACAGTAGCTGGTATTTTGGCCCATTCCTCCATGCAGATCTTCTCGAGAGCAGTGATGTTTTGGGGCTGTCGCCGAGCAACACGGACTTTCAACTCCCGCCACAGATTTTCTATGGGGTTGAGGTCTGGAGACTGGCTAGGCCACTCCAGGACTTTCAAATGCTTCTTACGGAGCCACTCCTTTGTTGCCCGGGCGGTGTGTTTTGGATCATTGTCATGTTGGAAGACCAGCCTCGTTTCATCTTCAAAGTTCTCACTGATGGAAGGAGGTTTTGGCTCAAAATCTCACGATACATGGCCCCATTCATTCTGTCCTTAACACGGATCAGTCGTCCTGTCCCCTTGGCAGAAAAACAGCCCCATAGCATGATGTTTCCACCCCCATGCTTCACAGTAGGTATGGTGTTCTTGGGATGCAACTCAGTATTCTTCTTCCTCCAAACACGACGAGTTGAGTTTATACCAAAAAGTTCTACTTTGGTTTCATCTGACCACATGACATTCTCCCAATCCTCTGCTGTATCATCCATGTGCTCTCTGGCAAACTTCAGACGGGCCTGGACATGCACTGGCTTCAGCAGCGGAACACGTCTGGCACTGCGGGATTTGATTCCCTGCCGTTGTAGTGTGTTACTGATGGTGACCTTTGTTACTTTGGTCCCAGCTCTCTGCAGGTCATTCACCAGGTCCCCCCGTGTGGTTCTGGGATCTTTGCTCACCGTTCTCATGATCATTTTGACCCCACGGGATGAGATCTTGCGTGGAGCCCCAGATCGAGGGAGATTATCAGTGGTCTTGTATGTCTTCCATTTTCTGATGATTGCTCCCACAGTTGATTTTTTCACACCAAGCTGCTTGCCTATTGTAGATTCACTCTTCCCAGTCTGGTGCAGGTCTACAATACTTTTCCTGGTGTCCTTCGAAAGCTCTTTGGTCTTGGCCATGGCGGAGTTTGGAGTCTGACTGTTTGAGGCTGTGGACAGGTGTCTTTTATACAGATGATGAGTTCAAACAGGTGCCATTCATACAGGTAACGAGTGGGGGACAGAAAAGCTTCTTACAGAAGACGTTACAGGTCTGTGAGAGCCAGAGATTTTCCTTGTTTGAGGTGACCAAATACTTATTTTCCACCCTAATTTACGAATAAATTCTTTACAAATCCTACCATGTGAATTCATGGATTTTTTTTTCACATTCTGTCTCTCACAGTTGAAGTGTACCTCTGGTGCAAATTACTGACCTCTGTCATCATTTTAAGTGGGGGAACTTGCACAATCGGTGGCTGACTAAATACTTTTTTACCCCACTGTATATGGACACAAAGAATCTGTGACATTGTTCCACCGTTTGTCCAGCACACTTCACTCAGTTACACCCCATGAGCCTGTAGAAAATAACAGTTGAGTAAAAGGTTTGAAAATATCTGCCTCACTTTATGGTTGAAGAGCGATAAATGTAATTATATTATAATCAGTTTTATGCTAATTATCTATATCCATACAATCATCAGGCTGTTGTCATTTCTTACTGAAAGTAGTTCTAATCACAAAGAAGCAAACAGAAAAATAAACTGCAGATAAATATCTTAACAGGTGGTGAGTGGTAAATTAGTTTCGGGTTAGTTTACACGTTAACAGCCGTATTTGTTGATCATTATCTGCTTTTAGGAGACTTTTGGCCCACCTACTTTACCAGTTAAACCCGCTTGCTGTTTTTTTGCACTAAATTATATATGTGACAGTATGTAGAAATGCCTCAGGTGCTGCAGATAACAGCAGACCAATCAAACACCGCATGCCCAGTCATCCACCTCCACCCCCTGCCAAGATGTCTTGAACTCATGCCAGCCATAGATAACATAAACAACAGGTGTGTCTATTGTGAATGGACAACCAGCTAAAATCTCATCTTATCAAAACATTATCAGCAGTTAAATAAGGACGATTAATCCGGGGCCTTAATATTTTCACCGGTTAGGAGCACTTAAGTTTTTGTTGGACCCAACAGAGACAATCTGAACATGCAAACTCTCAAACTTGTATAAACTGTGAGCACCAAACCAGAAAGAGGATATTTTAGCATGCTTTATCCAGCCACTTAACCTGGGTTGACCCCCTGCTTTATTTATGGAGGAAGTGGAGCATGTCAAGTGCCAAAGAGACATCACAACACTGGGTGCAGCTGTATTCACATCCTAGCCGCGCTCTTTTTAGGTGTGCAGTGAGCCTTGGATCAGAGGTGCATGACTCCTCCCCATCTCTGTTACCATCCTCCCAGTGATTATCGTACTGCCTTGGAGCAGATTTTTTAAAAAACAACTTAAAGTAGGCCAACTGAACATCCAGCGTGCTCTGAGTGTTTAATTAGTGGTGTGCTTGTTGCTTGTGCCAGTAGCGCATGAATTACTTTAGTTGGATCTTATTTAGAAGACACCAGGAGCCCTCTTTCATGATGTATAAACTTTTCAGGTCGCTACCACTGCCCTCCTGATTGGCTAAAGAAACAGTTGGGAGGTGTCAGACTGCCCTCTAGCAAATGTGTTCACAGGTTTTGAGTGACAGCCATCGGCCGCATCAAATGCTCCTAATTACAGT